GGTTTTGAGAGTGTGTTGCTAATGTGCTGTGGCTGTAACTGTGTGATGTCTTGTTCATGCTGGCATAATGGTGTAATAGTGTGACTTATGTTAGAGTTGACCTCTTGGAACCCAATGCCTGTCTGTTACTCTTGTTTTCTGTCTTAATTCTGTATTGCTCTGCTCCTTTGATCTGAGAGAATCTTACCGGGGTTGAGCTTGGAAGTTGTGTGTGAATTGCAGTCAGGTTCCCACAAACAAAGCATTGTGACTTACAGGGTCACCTCATCAATTGCATCCAAAATCTTCAGCAATTAATACTCTCTATAAAGATACACCTCATTAATTGCATTCAAAATCTTCAGCAATTAATAGTCTCTATAAAGATGTCCTCAGTTGACAAATAGCTCTAGAACATGCTTGCTCTGATTTGCATGCCCTCTCGTCCTTGACATTCTTTCAGCAGCCGCCTTGATCACATCATGTAACACACGAAACAGCCTTTAGAATTTATCAACCTCCTTCTGTGAGCAGCTCTTTTAACATTCTGCTTGCTGCTGCTGGTCTCCACTTGCACATTATACTCTACTCACAAGAGTACAATCTGCTGCTGAATTCAATATGTTTTCCAATCAATGAGGGTTCCAAACCAGATCCAAAACCTTATACTCAAGCTGTTTCCAAAATGGGTCCTCAATTGAACCAACACCCGCACCCCCCCCCCCCCAAAAAAACACACACACAAGTTGGTTTCTGACATGCTAACACTTGAAAATAAGTGTGCCATGGCAATCTTGATGTTGGACACATGTCAAATATGCTAACATCCTTAAGTATATCTACTGTATGACTTGCTAAATGCCAATCTTCCTTCTTATGTTACAGTATCATGAAGACAAGGCTCGCATAAAAGATGCAATGAAGTTGGGGAAGGTATGGTGTCTTAGCCTTTTTTGGTTTCTGATCCGCACTGATTCTGATGTATACAATGTTATCATAACTGCAGATCACATTGTCTTCAACCTGGACATTAGAAGACTTTAAAGCAGCCCCATTAAAAGATATTAGCTCTCCACCCATATCTGATGTTAACATAAAGGTATCTACTTTCTGACAGTGCCTACGAGTGTATTTACTTATTTTCTTTTTGCGTGCCTGTGTTATCTTAGTATATTCTGGTATTTCACTTTCTAATGTTAATGTTTGTATGTCATGGATGCTTATTGCAAGTTCTTTTATATCTATGCCCAGTGCATTAAACTTTTCTCCCACAACTTCTTTTATACACACATATTCATTCTGGAATCTTCTGCTCATTACTTTCGAGGACATCTGAGATATGTTCACAATCTTTTTAGTTGCACATATTTTTTCAAGCCTAACTTAGATAATCTTAAACGTTAATTTTTACAGCTGTGCAGTAATGGCAAAAACTGCACTGAAAATATGCAGCTAATCTTGTTTAATATGTGTGTTCTAATTTTAATGCTTATCTGTCTTTTTTTTTTTCACTACACAGTGGTGGCAATAGCAAAATCGGATCTATTTATTTGGTCAGTTTGATTCAGACATAAGAATGAAGGGGGCTTGGGATTTTGGTGTCCAAAACCAAAAAATTTGCATTTTAAACCAAATTGCTTTTTTCTCCACCCATCCCTTTCGAGATAACTTTTTTATGGCAGAACGCTATTTGAAGTAATTACAGCATAAATTTGGACGGATGGGATGCCCGCACTCTGGCCAATGTGACTCAAGTCGCAATGATTAAGAATATGCTTTTCTTTTGGTTTGCCTTTCAACTCGAAATGAACTGGTTTGACGCTGCATCACCTTGCAGTTAGTGTTTGATGAGCTACTTGAACGGGCAAGAGAGAAGGAGGAGAAAGAAGCTAAGAAGCGGAAACGTCTTGCAGATGATTTCTTTCATATGCTTTATTCTATCAAGGTGCAGTGATATAAACCTCGACTTATAGGCGCTGCTAAGTTCTGATAATTGGGCAGTAAGATATCATATTTATGCTAGTGTAATTCTTTCTTCCTTGCAGGATATTAACTCGTCTTCGAAGTGGGAGGACTTCAGACCACATTTTGAAGATTGTCAAGAGTTCAGGTCAGAATGATTAGAAACTTAGGCATAATACTTAAATGGTAAAAGGGAGTTGTCATTTCTATCGTCAGACTTACGGACTTGGAGCCATCAGACGTTATTGGCTGGCCTATTGAATCTTCCAAGATGTGCCAATAAATTATGGGGGGTTTATGTATAAATAGTTGTGCTCATTTCTTAAGATGGAAGTGGGTAGGTCAGTTTAAAACATAGTTCTGATGGGGATATATCCAATTAGTGGTTCGTATACAATTCTTTACATGTTCTAGAAACTGATATTAATTATTATGTGCTGATAAAAATTAATCCATGGTATTTTTATTTATTTTCCTTGGTTGTGCATTTGCATTGTTTAGATCAATTGGAGATGAGACCTACTGCAAGGAACTATTTGAGGAATACATTGCGCAGCTGAAAGAGGATGCAAAGGACAGTGAGCGGAAGCGGAAAGAGGAGAAGGTATGAATTATTCCCATCGCATTTGGTATTATTCATCATCATCATCATCATTGTTTTCGTTATTATCAGTATCACTACTGTTTTGTGAAAATTTTCTTGCAAGCATTCTGATGTATCTGTGTTATATTTATATTCTCTTTCAAATGCACTTAGGACTCTTAGAATATTGATCACATGTGGGTCGCCCTTCGTCTTTATTACAACAACAAAAGCCTTATCCCTTTGTCTACTCTGAAAATTGCAATTAATGGTCGAGAGGCATCAAATTATAAATTACGTGTTAGCAATCAACTATATACATGGAACAGTCAACTGTTTCTGGAAAACTAAATTCATACTCCCCGTTAATTTTTCCCCCCAGGGAATGCTCCTTGTGTCCCAGGTAAAAACAATCCAAACCAAACCCATAACTTGTTCTCCACAGATAGGGTTATCTGTTTTCTCCTTTTCCTTTGGTGGCCGATTAATCAGGTTTCCGTTACCTTTTTTTTTTTTTTTGGAGTGGAAAAGAAGCTTTATTAATGGAAACTGTGTACGAAGAGAGTCAAAAAACCGAGAAGATACAAGGCCAAAGAAAATTAGCCTGAGCGCATACTTTTGTATGAGTCCTTTAGGTCTAGCAGCATGATCACCAAGGGCAACGACTTCATTAACTAGGGAATAGGCATGAGTAATCTCATTACAATCAGGTTTCCATTTCTTCACTTACAACCATCAGATCAATTCAAGGGCCGAATTTTTACCTTGTATCAGTTGTATGCGTGCAAGAAGTTGCATCTTAGAATAATCCTCAAATGTACGGCTATTGAGTGAAGTCTTACTTACAGCAGGCAAAGAAGGAGAAAGAGAGAGAGGATAGGGAAAAAAGGAAAGGGAAGCAAAGAAGGGAAAAAGAGAAAGAAGAGGCACATAAGAAGGATAAAGCTGATGGTGACAATATGGATACAACTGAGATTCAATCCTCCAAGGAAACCAAAAGATCTGAAGACGATGGTAGAAAACAACGAAAGCAGCATCAAAGTCCTGAGCATATTTCTCATGAAACCGATAAAGAGAGGACAAAAAGATCTCGTGGACATAGTAGAGACCGCAAGAAATCATCACGGGTATGCAAATTTACTGCTTGCAGTTTCATAAACGAGTAGGATGTCTATCCACTTTTTATTTTTTTTAATTTTCTTGGGATAAATGGAACAGCATGCATCTGGTCATGACTCGGACAGTGAAGTGCGACACAAAAAACACAAGAAAGACCACCGTAGTTCTCACAGAGATGACGATCATGGAGAGCTTGAAGACGGGGAGTTTGGTGATGATGGAGAAAGATGGTAGTCATATGGTCATTCACTTCCCCTGTTCTGCTCAATCTCATGTATTCCAAATATCAGTACATCTCCAGAGAATTGCCATTTTATTTATGTTTTAGTCAGAGAATTGGACTAGGAGGTAAGTCTAAGTTCCCAGCTCGCGTGATAACTTACATCTATTGGCATGTTCTTTGATAGCAGTGCTCAATGCCTCTTTTTTGTATATTTATGCTCATAAGATTTGACACCGTGTTCCTTTTATGGCCATGGTGAATAAACCTCACTGACTAGGTTTGATTGTACCTCTCAATAGCTGACACCCAGACTCATGTCTGAATTTGGTCCTTGTCACAATGTCATCTCGAGATTTGCAGAGTCAAGTTTTACTAAAAGATTATAAGCTAAATGAATCTTAAATCTACATATAAGCATGCAAGAGTGGGAATTTAATACCAAGTATGTTTTCATGTCTCTGTATATTGGACCTGGCTGTGCGTGAAGAAAGACTCGAAGCTAATTTGATTTCCTATAATGGGAAGCCGGACTCAGGTTGGTTACGCGGTTCTTTGGGAAAATACTGAACGTCGGTGGTGTGTAGGAATTAGAGGAAGTAATTTTATAGTAACTTCTTATTAGTTTTCAGATAATCACTCACTGTGAAGCGTTGAAAATGTTGATCTCGTGGGCATTCACACCATCTTCTGATTGAGGAATTGTCATGGCTTCCAGCAAATAAAAAAAATTAAAACTTTTTATGAAGGATAAATCATGTTTGTGAATGATAGTCTTTATTGGATTTGGATGGCGTTGAAAATAAAACACATAAAAATATTCCTACTTTCGTATTCATCTTTCTTTAGAAATACCAAACCATATCAAAAGAAAAAGAAAAAGAAAAGAAATACCAAGCCAAATGGTGTCTTGGCATTCCTTCAACTTCAATATTAAGCATCGTTCAGCTCCAAAATAAAACTGACCGAAAAGGAAAAAGAGCTCTAAAAAATAGGTGACATTCGCCAGGTGTTCGAGGGGAAGGAGTATGAATTTTTGCATTTTATAAACATGGCTTTTCTCAAGATAAGCTCTGAAATTAATTAATATCACGGACATCATTCTCGTTTATTTCAATCTGTGTCCCTAAAAAATTATAGAATTTATATAAAAATATTATATTCACAAATCATCAATTGCACTGCTGCTTCAAAAAGAAGAAACGTAAGAAGCCAGAATCATGTGTCAGAGCAGAGTCTATTTAATTACAAGTATAGAAAGCATCTCTTTGAGTATGTCATCCATGATAGCATCTCCAATCTCAAAGTGAATGTCTCTACTTGGCCTCTGCAAATTTGTCCACACTTTTGATACCACACAGGAATCTGCATGCAGCAAGTTGGTGATATTCTGAGTCTCTCTACTACATCTTTTCTCCAGCAACCAGATTTTCCCTCTCTTTCCTTTATTTTCTTGGAATCCTCTGGCTTTTTCTGCCCTTCCTAACAGTTCCTCATGTTTCCCTTTGCTTCCATGAACAACGTGGTGGTGGAGTTTGTCTCTTTTTTGGCGTCTGAATTTCAGAATATTAGGGTTTAGGAGTAGCTTTGGAAGATAGGTTGAGAAGAATGGTTCTCCCTCAGGTTTCTGGGACAAAGTGTAAATAGCTGTCTCTGGCCCTTCTTCACTTTTGAATTCACACACTGTTCCATAACAATTAAATGATGCGACTTAAACTTGTAACGAAAAGATAATAATAATGCAACTTAAAGTAAATTTAATGTATATATTATATTTCTACATTAAATTACACACAATGTATTTCTGAATTTAAATACATTATCTCATGCTTTTGGCATTCTTAATAATTTATAAAATTTAACTTTACAGCACAATGAAATTTTTTTTTTGGTAAGATACACAATTATTTCTTAAAATGTTAAATTATTTGTAAGTTTCTGTTATCTTATTAAAAGTAATCCTATACTTCATTTAAGACGCAGGTTCAATCTAATTATTTATTGTCAGATTTTAAAAATAAAATTGTATTATGTAAAGTACTGACTTCGTTAGCACAAAATGTATAATTGAGGTTTTTGAAAGGAAAAATCACATGGAAATCTCACGTAAGAAATTTAATTATTAAAAGGTCTAAGTTTTACAAAAAATGTCACAGGATAACATGTAAATAGCACAAGTTAACAAGTAAATGGGACCTATAATTAATAATTAAAAATTCGTCTGAAACTTCTCTATGATTTTCCATTTTTGGATTTAACAAATGATAGAGGAAGTGCATGCTTTGTTAATCTAATTATAAGAGGGGGTAATACAATTTAATTAAATATTTAAAAAAAACAATGAAATTTCTCTCTAAACGACATTAAATATTATAAAGGAGACAGCCGAACCTGAATTAGCGAATGGTTGTTCCCATTTCTTCTCTACTGTACTTATCCAACTGGGTTTTGCACCTGCATCCACCTGTGGTTAGGGTTTAACCATCAGTCTCAATAATAAGATCATGTGAATTTGAAAATTCTAGTCATGTTCAAATTAATTAAAAATAACAACATTCAGTTTACATATAAAATTCCCTTCTATTAATACAATTGTAAATTATTAATATGCCTGGTATCCCACCAGTCATTTTTCCTGTCACAAACTTGCAACAATAACTTGACGTCGCATTTTTTAAAACTAAAAACTATCCATAAACTTCCCACTGTTATACAAAATTGAATTTAGCAAAAAAAAAGTGTGAGCTTGAAGATTTTAAACGCTCAGTAATCAAGATTACATTTTCCCCAAAAATCATTGTTGCTCCGTCAAATCCAGGACATGCGCACATTAATGATGTTGTTTCCGAGCTAATTTGAAAATTTTGGTAACATGAAGCTAACAATGTGTGTGTGTGTGTGTGAGTTCTTGTTTATATAAAAGAATAAGAATTGGTTAAGTTACCTGTAGTCGTCTGAATTCGGGGAGTGTGAAAGAGTGAAACATGTTAACAAGCTTTGGACTATAGTCATGGCAAATTAAGCCGTCGTCTTCTTCACCATCTTCATCAGAAGCTGCATCAGTGGCAACCCATTTCGTTGAGAGCTTCTGATGATTCTGATGATCATTTAATGGAACGAACCTGTTAAATAGAGACCTAAGGATGGAGGAGGAAGCATGGAAGAACCTTTTCCTGATATTGTGCTTTTCATAATTGATCTGCCACTTTAGGGTTTTCTCTGAAGAAGAGGAAGAAGAAGAACTAACGTGGTAGCCATCATCAATATGGGAGCTGAAATTCTTGAGAAAGAAACTTCTTTCTGAGAGGTAATTATGGAGTGAAAAAGGTTCTTGCTGGTGTTGGAGGTGTTCTTTTAGCTGTTTTACTGATGCAGACTTGGATGCCTCCATTTCCAAGCGATAGGAAAAGAGAAACTGAAGAACACTAGTTGTGAGCAGTGTGTGTGAAAGCTAATATAACGTACATGTGTGTGTGGGTGGGTGTGTTGGTAATGGATGTAAAGTGGATTTGAAGGCTTTGGAGTTCAAATGAACGTGAAGCGAATGGCAAGAGAAAAGTAAATGATCGACCAAGGGATCCAAAAAGCAGAGTTGCAAATTTAGAAAAACGACAGTCATAAAAATCTGACTCTTTTTAGACTAAAATATTACTCCTCCGGTCCTTAATATAGGACCCAATTCTTGAGTTAGTTTTAATCCTAAATATAAGGCCCATTTATCATATTTATCAATTTTCTCTAAATTACCCCTATAGATACTCTCTCAACCATAATCAAGTAAAAAAAAGAGATGAGGTATTAAGAAAGATGATTGTGGTGTTTTAGGAAAAATGTGTTATATTTCTTATAATTAACTAACTTATCTAACTTCCTTAATATAATCAAATTAGTTAAATGGATCTTATATTAAGGACCGGAGGAGTAGTATGTTTTATGGGATTAGAGATTAACCTTTTTGAAAACCAATTTGGAGCGGAGTAACCTGAAAAACAAGGTAAGTAAAAATGTTTAAGTTAGTAGTTCATCAAACTTAATATTAGCTGTTGGCCAGAAATAGAAAAGAGGACAAACTACTTCAATAATTAATAACTAATAAATTATATTTAACGTACATACACTTAAATAATCAACCCTCTTGCTATGGATTAATTAGTTTTAGTCTTAATGGTACCACCAGGGAGTGTGTGCCTATATATATATATATATATATTAAAGAGATTAGAAGCAACTTTGGATTGCTTTTGGTTGCATTTTGCAGGTTAAGAGCAACATGTAGGGCATATCATTTTCTCTTTTGGACGTTAAATCAAAAGCTTTTGTTTTACTTAATAGGGTTCGGAATATGAAAGGCCCTTTTATCAGTCTGTCATGTCCTTCACTGTCTTTTAATATCACATATTTTATTTATATATATAATCCTAATAATCGATCGATATCACGTGGGTGTGGGACTTGCACAGATCAGGAGCCACATTACTTTAATAATAATAATAATAATAAATGATTTGAGTAAAGAAGAGAGGGATATTCAATTCATCAAACATATGGTGGGTACATCATCTTTAGGCATATCGTATACGTTATTTCTTGAAACTGTCAGGTGACACTTAAAGTCTGGCAAAGTAGTAGTGATGATAAACCAATTCATCAAAACCCCAGGGAAATTGTACATTCCAAACTCTCTTTTGTTTTGGTTTGAATCAGATTGGTTTTGTTATGAATATTCTTGTTTAATTACTTGTATCAGGAAAAGAACTTGTACTCTCAATAACCTGATAGTTAATCTGTTATGTATATATCTGGCCATGATCTTCTTATTCATACATATCAGAAAGCATTGTAATAATTGTTTTGTGTATCTGAAAAAGCATTTTGGAAGCTTTATCTGACATGCACATATTGAGAAGTGGTTGGCCATAAATCATAATGATTAAGCTCTCTGATGATACTTCTGAGAATTGTGCTGTTTTGCAGTACATAAATGCCTGACCCCTTCTGTTTTTTTCCTCTCCCTCCAATTCTGTGTTCATCTTTTTTCTTTTCTTTTCTTTCCCACTTTCCCACCATTTTCTTGGCCCGCTGCTTTATATTTCACCCTCAATGGTAAATACAGATTACTGGCAACTTTAGTATATCATGCGATCTCATCTCTCAAGGTTTTTAGGAACCTTTTGTTCCTCCTTTAGCCATGCATATATCACTATACTTGAGACAGTACGATTCACTATCTAAATTACATTTGATTTAAACTGTCTACCTGTGGACTAAGGGTATGTTTGGATTAACGTTAGGCAAAACTGACTTCTAGTTCGACTGACTTTTGTAACTGAAATTAGAGTAAAAGTCAGTCAGTGTAATGCGATTTGTGTTTGGATAAGTGCTTATAAAAAGTCAGTTGAAAAAGTTGAAAGTTGTTTGGATGATTAATAGAAAAATTAGTTTAGTTGTAAAATGACTGAAAAGGGCATGAACTTTATTGAATAGTAGTGTTTGAAATTTTATGTTTTTAATGTGATAATAGTTTGAAAAAAATATGTAAAATTATTATGAAAATATAAATAGTTTATTTGTGAGATTATAAAATAAAAATATTTGTTACGGAGAAAAATTTGAAAACACATTGTAGATAATTAATTAAATATACATGATGGACAAATATGAATATAAATTAAAATTCATTTGGCCTCTAATTAAAGTAAATGAAATCAGATAACTAATTAGATCATAAGCTTTACACAATTTTCCCATAAGTCAGTTAGAAAAGTTGATCCAGATTGCGTTGGATAAGTCAGTTAGAAAAGTTACTTTTTCCCATAAGTCAGTTAGAAAAGAAGCCCCATCCAAACAATCTTCTGAACCACAATAAGCCACTAACCTCAGTTTCACGCTTCCCCAGACACTTTTGGCTTCTCCAACTGCAATCCAAACATAGCCTAAGAAGGTTTTCTCTCATGGTTCTCTGTAGTCCTACTTTGATCTCTCAAGGTGAATAATAAATACTAAGAAATTTTTTTTAAATATAAGATCTAATTAACTAATTTTGTGATACTTTTTCAGGAACTACCTCTCGAATAATGATTAAAAGCTAATGCACGGATAAATAGGAGTATTATGAGATAAAAAATTTAATATGAAAGACAACAATAAATGAGACCTTATATTTAAGATTGAATTGAAACCCTTAAATAGATTCTATAATCAAGTAGCAGTAGGAGTGCTTTATTTTGTATAGAACTTCATAGGCTTGGCTCCTGTGGCTCAAATTTCAAAAGTGATGAATGGTGGAGTGCATGAGAGAGGAAGCCTCTATATACTTTTTTAGTTGTAGTTATAGGGCAGTATGAAAATTTTTCACATGAATATATAATTTTATCCTCCATTTATTACTATGTCTACTTTTTTTTTTGGACTCATTACTATGTCTACTTTGCTCTAAAAAAAATATATGTATAATGTATAAAATTTTAAAACAGAGTTAATAAAATTTAAGGTTTTTTTTTTTTTACCTACATAAAATATGTTGAAAGTGACTTATATTGGGCAAGATTGATGACATTTGGAGCTAAGAGAGTTTATCACTTCCGTTAATTACTTTATTGGTGTCTAATGAATAACATCATTATGTTAAAGTAGCAAGTTACTTAAGAGGTTATTAGTGGGATGAATTGGTTAATTAATTGGTTTCTCTCTCTAAAAGTTCGGATGCCGCCACAACCATATGATGAGAGGAAGGAATGTTTTCAGCGATTTGTCGGAATTTTGCTTTGTTTCTTTGTTGGGTTTTGTTTTTACTATTCTTTTGTCTGATGCGTAATAAATAAAGATCTTTAAAAAAAAACAAGAAAAGAATCTTACAAATAATTAAATATATATAAAAAATACATGTAATGATCAGCTATTTCGATTTTATCCCCGTTAATTTATTGTCAGATTATGCTCCTCACATTCTTGATATAATATAGAATTTAATTGTTAAGTTAATTTTAGTCTTAAATATAATATTTATTTCTCATATTTATCAGTTTTTCTAAATTACTCCTATAAATACTCCCTCAACCATAATCAAGTAAGAGAAGGAGGGAGGATATTAAAGAAAATGATTATAGTGTCTTAGAAAAAAACATGTTATATTTAATATAATTAACTAACTTAACTAACTTTCTTAATATAACTACATTAGTCTTGCACTAAGGACCAAAAGTGTAATTAAATGGAATGGATGGTTTGAAAAGAATAAGATGATACCAAGTTTGGTCATTAATTTCAATTTACATCGATAACTGAAAGAGTAGTGGTTGACAACTTAGGATGCAGGGATTGACAACTATCGCGGCTGGTTTGACAACTTAGGGTGTGATATGCTGAGAAAATATGTTGTCAAACTAGCCGTGATAGTTGTCAATCCCTGCATCCTAAGTTGTCAACCACTACTCTTTCAGTTGTCAATGCAGACTTAAAAAAAAAAAAGGTAATTTGGTAATTAAACAAATAAAATTTATTGCAAAAAGGTCTCTTGGAACTTCATAATAATTTTATAATTTCAAGGGACCTTTTGTATTTAATTCCCTTAGGTGGGACCTCATTGCAATTCTCCCTTTTATTTAACTCATATCACTTGATAAGTTAGGTTGATGTTAAAATAATTTTGCAAATGAAAAAGCTTATTTTATTTTATTACTCTTTTTGGGGTAAACAAGGACACAGGAAAAAAAAAAAAGGACCCCAACCAAACCCCACAAGCAAACATTTCATCAAATGAAATTGCTAATGTTGTCTTTCACTTACTTAAAAAAGAAGATAATAATTATTAAGGAATTAGTGTGATCTTATTATAATGTTAAACCGATCATTAAGTTCCCACGCCATGAGGTCCATTAAGCATGCCTCTCGTGCGAGCATGCCCTATATCATCATCTTGTAAGTAACTTTACACACAAACACCCAAAAAATAAAATAAAATTATAATTGACTAGTTTTGACCATAACATTTCATGATTGTTTGGCCACTAAAGTTGAAGTCAAAGGGCTATTAAGAAATTCTATTTTTTTTTTCAAATGAAAAGTTGCAGAAATATGCAAACACATTAAATATCATGTAGAACCCATGTTTATTACTACCTACAGTCCTAATTATAAAACCTCATTTATAGTTTATATATCTTAATTTCTTAGGACCATGACATGTCAATGCACTAATTGGTCGAGCCTACTTTTGGATGTATACATGGTTAAATTTCTGGTAGATCGACTAAAGCATGTGTGTTTTCCTTTTTTCTTTTTCTTTTTTCTTTTTCACTCATGGCTTAAATAACCAGAGATAAAACTAAATAGGTGTGTGTGAAAATGAAGTTATATAAATACTAAACCCTTTATCCTAGATAAAAGAGTTATAATTGAGGAGTTTGGTTTGCTCTTAAATATGTAAAATCTCATTCTAATCCAT